AATCACTTTGAGTCATAGCGCCACAAATGAGTGGGATGTCAGAAAATATACATAAAGCAAAAATAAAAGTCTTTTTTTGTGCAATATGATAATTTATATATCAGTTACATCGAAAACAATGTCTCTGCTTTTGTTGTCATTACTGCTTCCTATCTTTAGGGGGCGATAACTGCAGAAAAACTAGACAGATTATTTCAAAGCAACAGCCAAAGAAGAAACAGAAAAAACTGTTAATTACCTCCAGTTTTTTTATAAATAAAACTGGAAATTTTCAAAAGAGATTTTAAAACTACGTCAATGTCTCAAAATCCACTGGTTGCTATGGTGACCCTGCCTTTAAGAAAAAGTGGGAAATGTAGCTTTGACCCAAACAAAACCTGACATGAATTAGAAAACATTTAGTGATGATTAATAACAGGAAAATCCCTCTCCTGGTTTTACGTGAGGAAACGCTTCACTTCCAGTTTTTAAAAGGAAGCTAGCAAAATGAGAGCGAGTTAGCGGTAGAGCGAGAGCACGCTCTGCACTCTGGGCTGATTTACCAGAAAACTGGAATTCTGACAGCAGAGAGAGACACTCTGGGTGGAAGTAGATAAAATAACCTCCATTTTCATTCATACATTTTATAGGTGGAGTTTAAACTGTGGCTTCAATTCAAAAGTTTCTGAAAATTTCATAGGGTGAAAAATCTGCAGTATCTGACATTATAACAAAACAATGGAAAAATAAAGTATATATATCATAAAGTTATTAAAGTTTGACTTTATGTGACTTATTTTAACTTTAAATGATGTTTCTATTGTTAAGTGTAGCTGTTAAAATTCTACTGAATTAGAAAAACTTTGGGAAATTTTCCTCAGTACCATCTGATGTCTTCCAACTTAAAGTTAGAAACCTGCATTTCCTCATCGAGTCTCATGCTTGAAAGCTGAATGGGGTTTCCCAATGTGACTTTTCTGATTAACCAATCAGATGATATAATTGCAACACAGCAAAATTACGCAAACATTTAACTGCCACAGCCAAGAAATAATCACAGGAGCAGTTTATCATTATGACCATAAATAAAACTCGTTATAACAAGTTTTATGTTGCATTAAAACCAAATTATTTTCTCATTTAAATGAAAAAACGGCAACAATTCACGAGATGTTTGAGTGCTATGTTGTCTACCAGAAATGGTAAAATGAATTAAATATAAATAACTTATTACTTTAACTGATTTACTCGTAAACAAAAACTTACCAAATAAAAAATGTTATTTTCACTTAGTAAATATAAACTTGTCATTTTTTACATTAATTTACATGACCAGGTGGTATTTCCCCTAAATGCTTATCAGCTCATTTAAATGTGCACAAGTACAGAGACATTATTTCAGAAGTACAAATGTTAAAGAGCAAAACAAACTTTAGTTTGCACGCACTTATTGCTTTCCTAGGTTTTTTTATACACTTAGAAAACTGAAATCGACGGTGGTCTTAGCTAGTAAAATTCTAGAGTTTTACTAGCTGGCACCTGAATAATGTCAAATAAACACTTTTTATTATTTAAAAGTGTTATAAACTATAAAAAATAAAGTTATTTAGGAATATGTATAAAAAAGTCCCATACAGAAGAGTGCGTTTGGAAAGCCTTGCTTTTAAGTGTCTGCCACCAGATGGCGTTGTTTCCCTCAGGTTGAACCTTTAAGTTTTATGGAGGGAAAAAGCTAACTATGGGATGATGGAAAACCATCAGATAGGAAACAAATCAACAGGAATGAATGAGTTCCTGATAACTGAACTGACTGAATGCTGGAAGTGAACCAGCAGACACCAGAAGGTTTTTTTTTTTTTTTTGTTCTCACACCAAAGCTGCGCTGGAATAAAATATTTTTTTCACATTCTCCAAAAACAAAAAGCTTCATCATCACCCAAATCTTTCTGAAAAAGTCACAGAAAGCCGAGACGTGACAGGAAAGAGATTTTTTTTTCCAGCTACCACAGATTCTATGGCTTTCCCCTGTGACTCTACCTGTACTTTCTACCAAAACCAAAGCAGAAGAAGAATATCACAGCCTGAAACTCAAAGACAATGAATCACTCCTGCTTTTTATGATCAAACAAACGCCTCTCATTTGTTCCAGAAAGTGAGCGGCTCAGGCTCCGACTCGCTCCGACCACAGAAGCAGCTCGCGGCTCTCTAACCCACTTTCTGCCTCTCAGATTCTCACTTTCACGCCTTTCTTGTTTTTAATCTGTCCGGGTCCCAGAATCTCCTTCAGTCCTCTGTGAGAAATAAACGCTGCATCCGGAAGCCGCTCGCTGTAGTTTAATTTATGCTCTTAACAATAACTTCCTTGTTTTCACTCATTGCACAAATTCCCCTTAAAGAAATGAGAGGTGAGAGTCAAAGCTTCGCTGGTTTGACGTCAGATTTACAGTAAGTTTAATTACATCACAGAGAGAACAGGAAGTTCTCCTCTCAGATGGACACTGACTAAAAGTCATCTAATTTAAGCTTTTATTTCCATAGTAGCTGCTCTAATATGTATTTTATGACTGTTATGATGTTTAAGTTTTAAATTTCTTCAACTTATCATTTTTAAATCAAAATGACAGTGGCACCCACAGAAAAATGTTATAGGGTTGCAAATTCAAAAATACTTTATAAATCCCAAAGAGAAATTAAATGTTTAAGGATTTTTAAAGAGTAAATTAAATTAAGTGGAAAGATAAGGCCTGTCACAATAGCAAATATTGATAGACAATAAATTATCCCAGAAGTTATTGCGATAAACGATAGTATTGTTGTTTTGAGACCATTTTAAAGAAATTAAACGGTAACGGCATAATAATGCAAAAAAACAATCTCAAAGGTCAATAAACTTTAAATTCTAATGAACATTTAACACATTTTAAATATCTGCAATAAATAAACAAATCAACAGAAACGACACTTAAAATGAACAATCAGTCAATGGTAGGAAAAGAAAAACGTCAAATCATGCAAATGGAGATTATTGAGCTTGTTTTAGTTTATGATGCGATTAACTGATTTATAGCTTATTGCGACAGGACCAGATGTGGCTACAACAAACAAAAAACAATAAATAATAATAACTTTATCCCTTTACATATTGGGTTTTACATTTATGTCTATATTGAAGATCATGACTCTGTATGTCTTTCTCTGACAGGAACATGTTTCTCTGGGGGCCAGGGGCGTATCAAGCATTTTTCAAGAGGGGCCCATGGACCCCTACAGCCCCCCTCATGGGGGCGCCACTGAAAAATTACCTTCTTTCCAATTTCTAGTTTTCTCTACTTTCTAAACGTCAGAATCTCTTCAGTTCGGGTTTGCTTGTGGGTCAGAACATCTCTGGTGTTTTACAAATCGAACATGTGATTCATCAAACACGTGATTCCCGGGTTACAGACGGCATCGTGAACCATTACTCACCCGCAGTCGGGCGCAGGGCACCATCTGCAGTCCGGGTCGGAGGCGAGGCAGCGCCGCAGCAGGAACTCCTCGTACTTCTCCAGCAGGGCGGCGTCGTCCAGGATGTCGGCCACCTGCCGTGGGGCCAGCCTCTCGGCGCATTCGGGGCAGCTGAGCTGCACCCGGCTCTCCGTGATCTCGATGCGCAGGTACTGGCGCAGGCAGCAGAGGCAGGAGCGGTGGCTGCAGCCCAGCAGCTCGGGCAGCTGCTCGGCAGGCTGACGCACCAGGCACAGCGGGCACTCCAGGAGGTTGGGTTCTCCGGCGCCGGCCAGGGATGGCTGGCTGGAGGAGAGTGGCTTCGAGGGGGTGCTGCAGGCTGCGTCCTTGCTGTTTGCGGCGGCTGCGGCGGTGGCGGAGGGTGCGGTGGGCGTTGAACTCAAGGCGGCAGGCAGCAGCTGCTGCTGTGCGTGGTGATGATGAGCTAACGGAGCGGCCGCCCCTCCTTTGGGGGCCCGTCCGCTCCGGGAGCCCCGCTTGCTGTGGAAGAGGCTGTGGAAGGAGATACGGCCCTGGCGTTTCCCAGCTGCTCGGCACTTAGGGTTGGGAACGCCGCTGACCGATGAGTGAGGCGACTCTGAGCCCTTTTCTGAGCCCATTTTCTTTTTTAATTCCTCCTTGAAATTCCAACGAGGGGACACAAGCTGCGGTTTGTTTCCTCGTAAAACCAAACAGTTTTTCAAGATCTTGGCTCAGACTCTTCAGGAACCTCCTCCCCTTGCTTTCATGAGAAAACAAACATTATCAGGAAAGGGCAGAGGGAGATAACAAACAGAAATCGAAAGGAGTGACGCAAGTACGCAGGAAAAAGAAAAAAATCCCCCTGAGGTCCTAGTTTGTCTCAGATTTGTCCGGATGAAGTTTCACAAAGAAAAAAGGAGAGAAGAAAGTAGTTTTCTTCTCTGAGGCAGAAGACGGAGTAAAACTGTTTCACTCGTCACTCTCCTACAAAAACACAGAAAAGAATAAAACCTAAAAATCCACAGCTTGGTTGTTATAACTCCTCTGGTTTGGACCTCCTGATTCTCCTCGGCCGAATCCGGAGCGACTGATCCTCTTCCGCTCCTGTTGCTGAATGCCGGCGTCTCTGAACGCTCCTCTCTGTCAGACAGAAAGAAGGCAGGAAGTTAGCACAAAGAGCATGCTCAGTCTGACACACAGCTCTCCTCCCTCCCTGCCTCTCTGCTTGGCTCCTCCTTGGTCTCACTTCAGGGGTTTTTTCTCTCCTGTGCATCTGAACCGATGATCTGTCTGCTCTCGTTGCGTTCGAACACACGATGGTCAAATGGAAGAAATTCTATGTTAAAACCTCAGATTCAACGCATGACATCATCCGCGACTCCACCCAACATTCGTCTTTGTGTTAAAACCAGTCTCCCTCTCTACAGCATGCTGAGCACCACAAGCTCCTCTCCCACTTCACACTGCGCTGATACTGCCGTCGCCATGGCAACGCTCACTACAAGCAATGAAAACAGCGACTTGAATCTGCCTACGAACAAGAAGAGACAACCTGGGGTAAACTGGTTAATAGAGTCAAATATACAAACCAAAAAAAATGTTTTAACACTCAAAACTACTTTGGATGCTTCAGTCACAGGTAAACAGATTCAACAAGCAAAAAATGCAAAAAGAAACATAGAAATATAGACTTCTAAAACACTGAAATAGGTGTCCTAGAATTATGGAGGACTGTAATTACCAGAAAACAAAAAAAATTGTTTTACAAATATACCTTTTATATGTACACATACGCCATCAAAATATATGCAGATTTTACATTCACTATTAAGTAAACTGGTACAAAACACACACAGTTATATCTACATTTCGATGTATGGGGGCCTGAAATTGCCAAAAATCAAAAATGAATTTGATTTTAGAAAGAAATGAATAACCCCAAAAACACATTAAAACAATATTGATTTTCACTCTTAAAAATCCCATACATGTTGGAAAAAAATCTGCATTTAGAAATATGGGGGACTTAGACTGCCAGAAATCTAATTTGTTTCACTGATATATAAATTTGAGTGTGAAAATAATTCAAAAACGGTAATAAAATGCAGAAAAAATATTGGCCCTCTTAAAAATGTACCTATATATTAAAATAAACTTCTAAAAGACATATATATACACTTGAGGCAAAAAAATATGGAAGACTGAAAGTGACATAAATTAAGATTTTTCTACAGAAATATATATTGACTTCAGAAACATTAAAGCAACCAACAAAGCCTAATAAAACTTAATACTGACTCCTAAATGAACACAGTTTAATTCTGAAATATGGAGGACTGACAATGTCAACAACCTAGCAGTTTGGCTAAGATATCAATAAGGCTCAGAACTACATTGTGGCACAAGGAGTGCATGTTTAATAAGTAAAATTTAGTTTTGCAAGTGTATTTACTTATGTTTTTATTGAAATAATTGTAATCTAAACTACATTGTAGTTTATATATATTTTTTTTATTTTAAGCTTACTTTTTAAATTCCTCTGTACCTTTTGGCTTCAATCTGAGAATAAAAACAAACTATATTTGGGTATAGGAATATACCCAAATATAGAATTACAGAAGCATGCAATGTACCAACAGAAATGGTGAAATTACAAGTTGAGCTAGCTACAAGTGCGGTCAGCTTATTTTGTCGTCAGAGGTTTCTTAGCTACACAACAGGAAATAAGCCCTGTTGTGGTTTATTCTGATAAAACTTTAGTTTATAAGACCAGTTAAAAATGTTACTAGTATTACATAACAATTATGAGTCAAGCTAGCTCCGACTAACTTATCTTGAAGTCAGAATAATGGCCAAATATCAGTGAGTGATGCAGTGTAGCTGACTTTCAGTTCATTGCATAAATAAATTATTTATATTATAACAACAACAAAAATGGCCAGTTATGTTTCTTGGCACCATTTTACTTTGACCTTTGAACCCTAATTAACTGACAGGTGAGCTTATTCTCATAATGTGTTATGTATAAACATTATATTTTGATATTTCTTGTATTTTGGCAGTGTCAGTCCTCCATAGTGAAACATCTAATTACTATCTAAATTATGGAAATACCAAGTCGCACTTCTAAAAATGCACAAACCAAATTAAAACAAAAGTAAAATTTACAGCCCTACACATAAGAACACGCCCTCCTTATATATTCATATATAACTATACCAAACATACATAGACTCAAGTTTCACAAAAACTCCCCAAAAAACAAACATATTGCACTAAAAAAGCTCCAAATACACAAAATTCAACTGAACATAAATAACACTTAACACGTTACACACATTACAGACACACAGAACCCCAACACATTGCACACTGACACACTCACACACACACACACACACACACACACACACACACACACACACACACACACACACACACACACACAGTTGTAAAAGAAGACTCACAAGTGAAAAGTAATAATTACTTTAACACAAAACACACATGCTAATTATGTTCTCACTGGAATTACAGACTGTGCAAGTGCTTCTATTCTGGAACGCAGGCCTGCAGCAGCAGCTCTGGTCAAATGTGTCTTTCTTTGGATCTCCAAATTTAAAGTTAAAAAGAAACTCACTCTGGATGCTTTGCTGCTGGAAATATTTCCGCTAAATTAGTCTTGACAGGGCCCTGTGGCCTGTTTTTGACATCTGTGTAACATCTAATCAAGATTAAAAGGAAATACTGAAATTAAGATGTCAGATCCAGTCAAAGAGGAGATAGAGCAGATGCAGAGTAAAAGAGGAAGCACAGAGGAGTTTAAAGATATTTTCCCAATGTCTACATGTAATTCAGATATGATAAAGTAGGAACATGCGACTATGGCCTTGTACAAACATAGTATTGTCTTTAAAAAAACAGATTTTTCTGCCACATCATTTAAAAAAATATTTGAAGACATGGGATCAGATTCAGAAAAGTTTTCATCCACATAAACCCACTGAGGGTTGTTGTGAGCATACCAAACCCATAGGGGGCAGTGCAGCGCCAAGCTAACACCTGTCAGCCAATCAGATTGCTTCAAAACAACCACAAATTAAACATGGCGCCGGGAAGTTCGTTTTAATACAAGTTAACTGCTTTTAAATAAAGTATTAGAATATAAATGTAAATAAAACACAACACAATGTTGATTTTTGTTCCAGACTGTAACTCACGGGACCCTAACGCTCCATTTCCCCATGTACACACGCAAACACAACTAAGGAGTTTTCATAAGTAATGGTTTTTAGTTATATTAAATGGAGTTTTTATGTGGACGAAAGGCCAAAACGCATAGGAAAATAGGGAACTCACACTCACCAAGTCGTGCAGATGTTTTCTGGTTTTCCCTCTGCAAACTAAAACCGAACCAAGCCTTTGTGACTGACTTAACGTCCACAAATCTGATTACAGCCGCTCGTCTGAAGGCCGCTCTCTCTATATATCTCTATCTCTCTCTCACACACACAAACACAGGCAGAGTAATGCTGACCCAGTAAACGTCAGACCATTCATGTGATTACCATGTCTGCGTCCGAGTGGGGAGCGTGAGGAGGGGGATTCATGGCCGTGACGCACAGAAAAATAGCGATAATCCGAACCGACCTGGAGCAGCTGAGCTGAGAGCCTGATCCAGTTTTCAGGTCAGGAAGAAGAAATATCACAAGAGAACCGGAAATATTACAAACATCCGCTTTTAGAGGTAATCAGAAACCGACTTTTTTTCAATCTTCATTTCATATTTCTATTAAGTTTTAGAGCAAATTGATGTAAGATTTTAGTCCGTGCCCTCTAGTGGCCACATTATGAACTTCAACAACATTAAACAGGAATGCATGAAACAGATTTGCATCATACAAAGTGTTACTGATCAATAATTATTGATTAATTAATTAATTCATTCATTGTGTAACCAACCTTCCAGGTCTATGATGATACACCAGAATAACCAAGTAGATTAAGACACGTTTCAACATGTCTGAAACAACCGTTTCCAGATTTAGAAGCTTTTCTTAGAAAAATGTATCTAAACTACAGGTACAGAATCATTTTAGACCAATAAATAAATAAATAAATAAAATAAATAGCTGTAATGTTTTGGCATCCCAAAAATATCTTCTTGTAGAAATCCTAGATGTTTACAAACTAAAATGTTCTAAATTCTTAATCACTTTAACTATAAATTGATGTATTACAGATGGATGGATGGAGAGATGGATGGATGGATGGATGGATGGATGGATGGATGGATGGATGGATGGATGGATGGATGAACAGATGGATGGATGGATGGATGGTGAACAGATAGATGGATGGATGAACAGATAGATGGATAGATGGATGGATGAACAGATGGATGGATGAATGGATGATGGATGGATGAACAGATGGATGGATGTATAAACAGATGGATAGATGGATGGATGGATGGATGGATAAACAGATGGATAGATGGATGGATGGATGAACAGGTGGATGGATGGATGGATGGATAAACAGATGATAGATGGATGGATGGATGGATGGACGGATGGATGGATGGATGGACAGATGGATGGATGGATACATAATGTCTCGCTCCACTATGCTCCCTATAATGATGAAGTTTCACTCACCTCAGGATGCCAAATCCTTAAAAATTAAAGTGATGCTGAGGGCTTGCCGTACTTTCTTAAATACAGAAAATTAATCAAACGAGCCTCTGATGTGGCACCATAAAATACTCCATCCCAGATGTAGAGGAAAAGTAATTTCCACACTATTGATCCCAATAAATGCACTATTCACAACACAAATGCTTCAAAGACCAAAACATGGCAGGAAATTCTTTGTTTCTTGGGCCTTTTTTGCTCTTATCTTCACTCGTTAGAGTTTTACGTGGCCATCTGTTACTAAACATTAACTTGGAGCTCATTTGGTGAGTAAGATGTGTGATTCACAACGCTGGCAGACTTTGATTCCAGGTGACTCATCAACATCGTTCAAATCTTGATTTTTTAATGATGTCCAAGGAAATATCATAAAAGTAGAAAGAAAGTTACTGAACAAGGCAGTTTAAACAGACTGAGACAAAATAAACACATCAAACAGCTGAGATTACACTATTTTCCAATAAATATGTCAGATCTCATCCATTCAGTCCAAATCCTCTTTGCAGTCGGAGTCAATATCAGCCAAAACAAAAGTGACTTTATCACCTGCAGTTGATTTTAAAGCGCGGTAAGAGAACAAGGAAGTAAAATAAGCTTGCTGAGTAATCAGTGATGAAATCGAGATAAGCTTCGGCAGAATTCAAACACGGTGCAGGACAGAAGGAAGGAAGGAAGGAAGAATGCTGAGTGAAAACATTCGTTATTAGCTTTAGTTTCGAAGGTCAACCTGGCCAGAGGTTTTTTAATGCAGCCTTTGGTGAGCAGCTGACAGAATCTCCTGGTTAAAACACAGAAGTTGCCATGTTTGGTCTAGTTTTAAGGATAAAACAAAGCTGTCTCTGCCAGAGTTTATGATTAATTATGATTATTTATGCACTAAAATTCCTGATAAATGTAGAATTTCACTGGATTACACCGGCAGTGCAGCAAAGTACCAAAACTTTGTCACTGTACTTAAGTACGTTTTTCATGTACTTAAAGGTGACAAATTATCCTTCCTTGGAGAAGTTAGGATAGGCTTCACAAAACAAAACAAAATCATTCTTAGATAGTAAGGCGTTAGTCTGCCGATTTTGAGCTGTTTTAGGGCGTCCTGTCACTTTAAATTTAAATGAGCGTCTGCTGGTCAGCATTTACCATCCGTTGCAACAGATGTGCAATTACACAACTGCACATCTTTGAAAAGCATTAGTAGAACTTCCTACCCAACAAGAATGCAGCAAGTGGTTTCTGAATGGTAAGTCAACAACAGCAGCCAGTGTACAGCGGTAAATCCAGCTGACCAAATGTGCTGGAGCTCAGCTTGGGTTGCTAGGTAACAGGCGGTGGGGTTGCTAGTGGGGTTGCTAGGTAACAGGACAATGCCTGCTGATTTGTGATGTTTCAATTGGGAGGTTATTGAATATAAAACATACAATTATGTGGAAGGTTTGCTGTTTTAAGGACTAAAATGGAAATTATTCATATGAACAACATAATCACAAAATAAGAAAGTCAGACAAAATAAACATTTTTCCAAATCAATTAATTTCAAAATAAAACTTGTGAAACTTTAACAGTAACTCTAGGTATGTGTCTGATGAATTTGTGATTACAGCAAGTTTGAAGTTACTGGCAGTGGGTGGAGAATCCAGAAAATTTACTCAAGTAAGAGTAACAATACTTATATAACAAAGTTACTCAGGTAAAAGTAAAAAGTACAGCGTAGTAAAAATAAAATTTCTATCAAAACGATACTGTGACAGACTGGCGACCTGTCCAGGTGACCCGCCTCTCGCCCGAAACGTTCGCTGGAGACGCAGCAGCACCTCCTGACCCCACAGGGTCAACGGTGCCAGAAAATGGATGGATCAAAAAGTTACTCAAGTAAATGTAACTCCCCAACTCCCCAACTCTGACAAACAGCAGGCACGTTTAATGATGCTATAGGGAATACTTTCAACAACTACATTTATTTTTATACTTTATCAGTTTTAAAAGCAAGTTTTTACTTTTAATCGAGTAAAAATGTTAATGTGGTACTTTTACTACAGTACATTTTGTCTGTTTCTTTTAGTTTTACTAAAGTAGATTTTTGTCTGTTTCTTTTAGGTTTACTAAAGTAGATTTTTGTCTGTTTCTTTTAGTTTTACTCAGCACAGTGTTGGTCCTTTTGTGTTTCTCAAAGTGCTTTCTCACCAGGCCTGTTTATTCTGATTTAATCTGATTAGTTTCCATTTAAATGTTCAGTTTTTTATCGTATGAAAACCTCCTTTCTGCTGCCTAAGCTCTGCTGTGGCCCTCTGATCCTCTGTCAGAACCAGAACCACAACCAGAACCAGGAAAGCCCCATGGTGGCGCTGTTATCAGGCGTCGGCTCTGTGATGTGGCTTCACGCTGAACAAACACTTAACCCTGAGAAGCAGCTCATTATCTCTGAAGACAGATCTGAGGACAACAGGCAGGAAGACAAACACACCGGGGACAGCCTGTTTGTTTTCAGAGGCAGAAATTCACTCAAGGCAGAGCGCCGTCTGCCCAGCCCCTCCACAACCTGTTGTCCCCCTTTGATACGTGTCAGCTAACAGTCTGAGTTCAGAAGCAGCTGATCAACAAACAGTTAAAACATGAATACACTGATATTCTTACTGCATTTTCATTTAAAGTACAAAATCCCATAAACACAGTGCAATAAACATTGAAAAAATATCAGATTTATTCCTATTTCAACAATAAGAACTGACAAAAGTTGACTTTCAACCAGAAGAAAAATCTAAGTTTGCTTATTTAAATCCACTGAATCTGAGCTGAGCTGCCTATGTTAATAATTCCCATATTTTATTGCTAAAATGCCAAATAAAAGCTTTGAAAAGCTCAAATCGTCTTTGTTAAAGTGTTATCAAATATATATATATGATTTTAAAATGATTATATTGTTTTAAAACAGCAGAAAAGTTAATTTTCAAAGTCAAATTTCTGATTTTTGTGCAGCATAAGGTGAACATGTGTTTATATATTTATCTGTTTATTCATTAGGATTCACATTAGTTTTCTCCAAAGTGTTTACTAAACTTCCAGGGGTCCAACTGGTAAAACAGAAAAATATTCACACAACATGAGACCATTTTGACAATAAATACACAAATTATACACACAAACCTCTATTTAATAAAAAAGATTGAATAAAACTAAGATTTCAAAGCTCTTTTAAAAGAAACGGTGCTTTTTAAGTCTGATGTATAATTTATTCCTGAGTTGCTCTGCAGTCAACAGATTTCTGTAACAAGTTTGTTTTAGCACAATATGCTGAACTTTAATTTTTACAGACTAAAATTTCCAATTTAAAGTTTAGAAAATGTATTTTCTTTTTTAGATCATCAAACTCGTCTGAATATCAGAGAAACAACAAGCAGATTGGAGAGGAGGAGAGGAAACAGCCTGGCTCTTATAATGTAACTAATCATACTTTGTGTTTCACCACTGGACCTGCTGGCCTCACTAATCACCCGTCTAATTCTGCTTCTTATCCTTCTGTTGCCGTGTAAATCAGCAGAGATGGGAAAGGTCAGATGTTCTGCACAGTAAGCACGTCAGAGCGTGAACCTCTGCATGCTGAGCAGATTTTTGTGTGGATCTCATCAGGCGTCTCGTTCAAAGCGTGAGAAACTCCAGGCGGCCCACGCCCGGCTCTCAGCAGGCCTTCAAAGATAATTCAAACAAAATGAAACACAAACATGCTTTTGGCGCCGGGTCAGATTCCTCTGCTTCACTGATGAATAACACTTTAAGAAATGAAGCAGGTGAATTCGCTACGGCATTAAAAGATTCTGATATCCATTTGCTGAAATGTTACTTTTATGTTTATCTTATTCAAAGTGTAATAAGGCAGACCAAAATATGTGGTAAGATTTTGTGTCTTTGCAGTGTAAATAATGTATCAGCAATGAAAATTGAAATTCAGTACATTATTGGGATATGATATTTACCAGAAACAGTCATTTTTGACATGAATTTTGGACCCGCAGTGATGGTTTGTTTGCGGTACGTTGTGTGTGCGGCGTTAGAATAAACCTGAGGAGATGATGATCATCGTGCGTTCATCATTTGCCAGATGGAGCTGAACAGCCTCAGAGAACATGATTTGTTATCTCACACTTATCCTCCTACTCCACTGCTGCTCCCAAACACACACACAACGCACCGCAAACACACACACACACACACACACACACACACACACACACGCTGCAGACTTTATGTCCTGCAAAGCTGCTAAAATCTCTTCCTCTGCACACGATCTCCCACATTTAATTTACTCCAAAGTAAATCATCTTGTTTTTCTCTTTCTTGCTTTGTGAAATACTACATGAACACTGCAAAACACAAAATCTTACCAAGTATTTTTGTTCTAGTTTCTAGTGAAAATATCTTAACACACTTAGTAACTTTTAAGAAAGATAAAGATGCTTGTTTTAAGTCAATAAATCTTTAATATTTATGAGAAAGTTCTAGTTCCACTGGCAGATTATTTATCTTATAACATGTGAAAATATCTTACTATAAGTAAAATAATCTGCCACTTTTTTGAATCAATACTAAGGAATTATTTAGATAATACAGGCTCCTCTGTCTTGCTGAAAAGTTAGATTTAGTGTTTTTGCAGTGCAGGGTTGACACGCAGGTCAAAATCAGATCTCAGGAGGAAGACGCCTGCTTTAATCAGACCACATAAACTCTGAGTTTACTGTAAAGGCTGGAATAGATGAAGATCTTCCTGTGCAGAGCAAACTGGATGTAAGCTTCAACAAAAGAAGGTAGGGCGGCATGCCGAGGCAGCTTCAGACAGTGACACCAGTGTGTGATCTTCATCATGACATCATGACCCACATCCAGATTCATGTTGGGTTTTCAGAGACAAACAGGAAACACAGAAAGGAAATCTGAGCTCAGATCCTCCGACAAACTTTCTGGTTTCACACTTTGACTCAAAGCTTCAGGATCCTCCGGTTTCTGCCACCACAGGACACAACCGACCAGGACACACACACACACACACACACACACACACACCAGCACCAGGAAGACGAGGCAAGATGCCAAAATCATCCTGCCGGTTATGAAACATCTGCTTCCAGTCAAGGTTTGCTCCAGAATCAAAAGAAGTTAACACGGCTTCCATTTAATAAAAATATTCTTCTGAGCAGCAAACCGTTTTAAAACGAAATGAAGAAAACCCTTCAGTTACTTTGTAAAAGCCAGACGTGAAGCTGAGGCTGGTCAGCTGAGAGCTACAGGTGAGCAGCTGACTGGGCGCTGATTAACCGTCTCATCACGTCCATAAAACACCAAAACAGCCACCAGCCGACGCCCACCGCCACTCACCATCAGCAGCTGCGACGATTCCAGGTGGAAACAGCAGCTGCAGGCGGGATTACTTTAATAAAAGAGAAACTGTAACTGAAGAAGGAAAACTAAAACTAAAGTCAAAGATTGGTTGTTAGATGATGTAGTAGCAAAAGTCACTAACAACAAAGCTGACAACTTGTACTGATCAGAAGGAAATGGCTTAAATTTAGGCATAAGTTGATGACTAAGTGTTTTTACACTGAGAGCTGTATAGCTGTTAAAAGTTGTATTTTTTTCTGTCACCTTCTGAAAAAACAGAGCTGGAAAACAGAACTGATTAAAACATAAATGATAGGTTGAGTCTAAACTGCAAGACGATCTGCTGGATTTAAGGCAGCTATTCATTTTAATTTCGCTAAGGAATACAAAACTGCGGCTAAGTTCACAGCTAAATTTGTAATTTGCTCACCATCAGTTGGAGAACAAGTCAGATGAGTGTAATTAAGCTTGGAGGACAGGCAATGAAATCATTACCCTTTACATGATTACTGTGTTTTATGAGAACCTGTGATAAACTGGCTGTAGTTTATTCTGCATCCTGTTAAAGAGACAAACCCTGAAAAATCTTTAATTATTATTAAGGATTTATTAACTTAAACAAAGCAGCTATATAATGCTGAAGATGAAAATCTTATTTTAAGTGTATTAAAGTATTTGCTGTAGAAATGAGACAAAAGTATTTGGTAGGATTTTGTGTTTTTGCAGTGTAGCCATTGTAATTTCCATCTTGCTCTTTATTTCTGCATGTCTGGTTATTCATTCCCATCATTAATCTGCCTTTCCTCAGAACTTCAGTGACGTTTGCTCTAATTCCCGCAGAAGCTGCCAGCTTTCAGTTTTACTTCCTGCTGCCCTCTGGCTCCAAACATTGATTTTTGTTTTACTTGGGTAGTAAAAACCGACCGTTTCTGCTCAGGAGGCGAGCAGATGGCTGCAGGGTTCAAACTGGAGGAAGTCTCCTTCATGTCATTTATCTGTCAGCTTTTCATCTCTGATGCTACAAAATAAAAAAGTCTTCAATTTATAGATCTGGAACAGATTCAGGAATCTTTTGCATGAATTTACAGGAAACACAAGCAGATGTTGCTTTGCATTCCCTTTTTGTTCTTTCACTAAACAAATCAGGATTAGATCTGCCAGCTTTTCCAGGACATCTTATCGCTTGGGATAAGAGCGTGAGCTGACAGCCTGCCGCCCAAACCGACTGATGACATCGTTTTGTTTCTGCTCCAGCAGATCTGCAGCAGGCCGGAGTCCAGCCTGCGGCTCGGCTCAGACTTTCATCCTGTTTGCAGGAATACTGACTGAAACCCGGCTAATCCGAGAAACCCGGCTGCTGGGGCCGTTCGGCTCCGGACCGAACAGGTGGTCCTCCACTCAACAAACAGCTAATAATGTATTATGTGTGTGTTTTGGGGGAGAGCTAATTAGAGTCAATTAGCTAAAAGGCTAGCAGACGCTGCTGTAAACAAACCTCTCTGTTTCCATGGAGCAGCACTGGCCTGAAAAATGGGTTCAGCATCCGACTGAATGCAAAACAAAGAGTTATTTTAGTAAATTCACTGGATATCATGAACTTTTGCCAACATTTTACCAGTTTAAAGCCTAAATAAGTACTAGAAAGTGAGAAATCCTGGATTGTAGCTGATCCTGCTCCAGTGGATCTGACAGCAGTGGTCCAAACGTTTATGACTTTATTAGAGATGCAAGAATGTTTTCAAAGAAACTTTAAATCTTAACAGCTATAACATATTATTTTTCTTTCAGCTCTGCCTCAAAAGAGTAGAAAGAGAAATAAAAACAGGTTCAGCTGTTTATTTCCTCTCAGACTGGGTGAATTATTGTAGAAAGGGTTGTTTCAATAATATTTTAGATGAAGATGAAAACTTATTTCAGGTAAAATTACTTTAAAAAACATGATTTATAGTCATCCTAGAACATATGCTACATACAGTGAAACAAGTATTTTTGTCTAAATATCTTAGTACACTTGAAATAAGACAAAACTGACTTACAAATAACTTCAGCAGGAAACAGGAGCTTGTTTTAGTTAAATAATTCCTTAATATTGATGAAAACGTGCTAGTTATGCTGGAAGATTATTTCATTTTTAACCAGGCATTTCTCCCATTTTATAAGTGAAATAAAAACTTATAAACTAAAACTAGCTTATAAGTGAAATAATCTGCCAGTGGAACTAGAACTAGGAAATTATTGACCATATCTTGATAAAAAGTGACTTTTAAGTTACTTTTGTCTTATTTCAGGTCTATGCATCAGACTGTCATAAACCTGACATAACGCCTGTTATGAACATAGAGAAGAGTCTTCAGAAATGTTTCAGACTGTTGTCATGAAGTGTTATTTGGTAAATAATGTCACTTTAAATGTAAAGTTTCATTAAAACTTGTGTTAAAAGTGCATTAAAGTGTCATTATTTACCAAATGACGCTTCATGACAGCAGTCTGAAACATTCATGAAGACTCCTTCATGTTGATGATAAATGTTATGTCCTGTTTATTAAACTGTCTTGACAACCTTATACAAACTCCTTCAAATGAAGTGTTACAGATATTTGTTCTATAAACTACACAACCTTCTTGGTAATAATTCTGTTTTTTGGAGTGCATTTCAGTTTGAGATGCAACATAATTTGAAACTTTTCTGCTGAAAGAGGAAAGGATGATTTATTTTGCCCTAGTGGAGTGGACAGACGTCGTTCCTCTGAATCAGAGCATCTCAGCTGAGTCGGACGTCACAGTAAGGTTTTCAGCTTATCTGAACCCAATATTTCCTCCTAACTGCCTGATGACGGGTTTATTGGAACCGTTTGGGTCACGGCGCCAGCAGCAGTTTGCAGAGCTGAAGCAAACTCTGTAAAAACTTGCAAAATTGCTTTGGCAGCGAAATGTGAACTAAAGGTGCTGCCAGCTTCACAGAAATAAGTCTGAACATGTTGGTTCTTCAGAAAACACAGTCAGAACCAGCACATTCATCAGATCCAGGTTTGTTGTGCCGAGAGGAATCGGGCTGGATCCTGACCGGCTCGCCGGCGGAAACCTCCGGCCCGTTGTTACGGGACTTTATGGTTTCAGATGCACTTCTTAAAGGCCACTGAAGCAGCCATTACTGCGTTGTCAGGAACCAACGTGATTACTGGTTTAATGAACGACAGATTAAAAAGAAAAATGCTCCTCAGCCTTCTAAGAAATGAGGAAGATGCGCTTAGCCTCAACGGTTCTGGACAAACAGAACACGTTCCAGGCAGATTGGGCGATTATTTGCTGAGTTGGATCTTTCAATGTATTTCTAATATTTTATGAAAAAGTTTAAGTGGTTGAATGAAAAATCAGCAGAATGTGACAGTTTTTTTTTTTAATCTGATTAATAATCAGAAAAATCGATTACTAAAATGTATTTTAATTATGGAGGAGTCTCCAGATGTTCTCCCATTGGGTCAAGGAAGAAAAATGTTGCTACAAATCAAAAATCTGAAAAGTGTGGAGTGCATTCAAGCCGCCGCTTTGTAACATGAAGTTCCAGCTGCAGGTCTGCTGGGTTTTAACCAGTTTGAACATCCAGAAACTAAAATGTTCACCTGTTCTTCCCGTCAGGCGACTGCAGACGGGATGGAGAACATCTGTCAACTTAAATTAGTTTGTTCTTGTTTTAAAGAAACCTT